TTTAAAAGAGACCAGGTTGTTTGAAAATCCTAAACGAATGCTAAAAATCGTCAAAACATTCTGGTGTCTGAGCCAGTCGTGAGAGTATGTCATCGAATTGCGATATAATGTAAACAGAAATTATAGCAAGTTGATGTCAGTCAGCTTAGATGGTCCAAGCCAAAATTATATCGCATTTGAAGTTTCAAACTGAGTTAAAAATAGTGCAAGAAAAGCCGTAATTATACTTGTTGTAACAATCCATTTAATAAAATGCAACATTTTTTGTTTTAATGAAAAAATCAGTTATTTTCATGAGAACGATTTGTTATTCCATCTCATTTTTTTTAATCTCCAATCGCAATAACGTAAATTATTATTACCCGCGAACCAATGAGTCAAATTTAAGAAACAACCCACTGTTAGAAAGCTGAATGGCTACGCTTTAAAATGAATGTAAACTTTAACGTTTTCGTCAATCATTTGTTTAGCAATTTACATTTCAGTCGAGGATTGCGCATTCTTTTATACACCCTGTATATATATATATATATATATATATATATATATATATATATATATATATTAAGATGAAAATGTTCTAGAGTGTGTATTATTTAATTTCCATACCCAGCGTCTGCCGCGGCAGGGTCTCGAACCCGCGACCTTCGAATTACTAGATCGACGCTCTACCTACTGAACTAGTATTGTTCGATGCTGAATTAATATAAACGAGTATGTTTATGACATTCAGTATATATTTCATAATTTCCAGTCTTAAATCCGTCTGACCGTGTAGCTCAGTAGGTAGAGCGTCGATCTAGTAATTCGAAGGTCGCGGGTTCGAGACCCAGCCGCGGCAGACAACATCTTTCTGCTTGCGCTGGGTATGGAAATTAAATAATACACACTCTAGAACATTTTCGTCTTAACATATTACAGAGTGTACAATTACACAATATAGGTGGTGATTGCTTTTCTTATTTGAAATAACGAACATGAAACTGCACTGACTGGCGTTCTTGATTTCAAACACGGACCGATGACGCCATAATTAATAGCCTGCGTAGCAGGCGGTGGAAGCTAGAAATACCGCCTGCCCAAAAACTACACATTCTGAGTTCCGCCCACCGAAGTACCGAACGCATGGTCCCGCCCATCTTAATGTATTTATTTTAATTATTTGTCAAACTCACGTATTTGCACCAGTGCAAATATACGGCTTCGAAGCCTGTTCTAAACGTCGCATTTTAATACATGCGCCAAATGCATTCAAAATAATGCCAATGGATAATGAGGCATTTCAGCTGATTATCTATTGTTTTGAATGCATTCGACGTTTAGAACAGGCCTGACGTTTCATATCTTCGGTTCATTCAATGCTATGAAGACAAAAATGCCACGTTCGATTCAGTGTAACAATGTGTCCTCATTCATAGCGATAGTTTTAGTCGATGTCAACATTATAGCGATTTATGAGCTTTGAAAGTCAAGCGAGTTCGTGTATTATCAAATTACGCAATTGTCTGAACAAAAATATAATAGCCATACCTTTCGCCGAACATAACTTCGGCCCCTTCGAATTCGGACGTAACTTTGTAATAGTCTTGTTCTAATCGCTATCAAAAACACTACTTCGAGTGTCATTTACGAGCCTGTATCTTCAAATCTGCACTTTTATCACGGTATCACATCTCTCAAGCAACAAATGTTGGATTGATATTCGTTGTTCATTCTTAAAGACGAAGCGATTTCCGATTCCAGATAAAGATTAAAGCAGTTCAACGCTTAATTCTCAATTAATACATTCGTTATTTTTTTGGTTAGTGTATGTACGGAGCCGTATTAGTGCCATTGAAATATTGCGCTTGAATTTCATATTTCTCGACTTTTTTCTCGCGTCTAACATTTTTTCTCGCGTCTGAAATTTTTTCTCGCGTCTAACATTTTTTCTCGCGTCTGAAATTTTTTCTCGTGTCTAACTTTTTTTCTCGCGTCCAACATTTTTTCTCGCGTCTGAAATTTTTTCTCGCGTCTAACTTTTTTTCTCGCGTCTGAAATTTTTTCTCGCGTCTAACTTTTTTTCTCGCGTCTGAAATGTTTTCGCGCGTCTAACATTTTTTTTCGCGTCTGAAATTTTTTCTCGCGTCTAACTTTTTTTCTTGCATCTGAAATTTTTTCTCGCGTCTAACTTTTTTTCTTGCGTCTGAAATTTTTTCTCGCGTCTAACTTTTCTGGGTTAGGGACCGGTCATTATTTATGGCGGGGGGTGGCACCGAAGAGAAAAGGGTTGGGTAAACAAAATTTTGAGTAAGTAAATGGTTGGGTAAATGAAAAACAAAACAACTCAAGGGTTGGGTAATAAAAATTTATTGTCATTTCCAAAGCATGACCCACTGAAATATTGGAGACTGAAAAGCAATGTCAACAGTCATTTGTCAATACAATATATGAATCAATCAGAGTCACTATCTTGATCATAGTTTGACAAAACAAATTGTGTTTCCAAAGAAAGTACATGTGCAGACAACATGAAACTTTAGACTGCAGAAAATTTCACAAGCCGTTATCAAACTCATGTCACTGAAGTGATAAATGACATGTATGACAACTGAATGGTATCCTTTTGTTAAGTTTTTGGCCAGGGGTGGGTAGTTAATTTTTAATTGATATTTGTGGTTGGGTAATCAAATTTTTGTCTTTTTAATGGTTGGGTCAGCAAAATTTTTGACACGGAAAACATTTCTCTTCGGTGCCACCCCCCGCCATAAATAATGACCGGTCCCTTAGGATAAAACCCGGCGGATACGGACGGACGGATGGATGGCGGACGGACGGACGGATGAGTGGCGGACGGACAGACGGACGGATGGATGGCTTTCAAAAAACGTTTTTCAGCCTTTCTTTAGTCATATCCACGTTTTACCAAAAGGATAGAACGCGGATATGGTCCAAAAAACGTTTTCAGCCCCTTTTTAGTCATATCCGCGTTTTATCTAAAAGTATAAAACGCGGATATGGCCAAAACTAAGAACGTTTTATGAGGGCATACTCTATAAAGAATATTGAATATTGTCCTAGAATTTGAACAAATAAAAATTATTGTCTCTTCGCTTGAATACTCACTGCGAGATAAGAGTCCTAAAATTACAATTTAGTGTTAATAAAGTTTAAATTTAGTGTCAGTTATCTGGCATGTAATACTCCAATTTTATGCCAACGTAATGTGCTGTTTATCAAAGGCTTTTCAATGCAGTTATCGGTTTAAATATACATAAAATTCCCGTTAAGATAAGACAATTTCCGTACGACCTACCTTTACACGAACGCAAATTACAATTGCAACTTTCATGCTTAGTTTTCTCAGTTATCTGGCATGTAGTAATCCAATTTATGCCAATGTAATGTGCTGTTTCTCAAGGGTTTTTCAATGCAGTTATCGGTTTAAATATACCTAAACTGATTCTCTTTAATTAAGATAAGACAAATTCCGTATGGTCTACTTTTACGCTGCATGCATGCAAATTAGCTACAATTTATTGCAACTTTCATGCTTAATTTTCTCTGTAGTATCTGGGTATGTAGTAATCTAATTTTATGCCAATGTAATGTGCTGTTTTCAATTAGGGCTTTTCAATGCAGTTTTCGGTTGAAATATATCTAGAAGTCACTAAAAGTACGGCCTTACTTTACGCGAACACCGAAATACAATTGCCACTTTCATGATTAATTTTCTCTGTTATCCGGCCGTGTAGTAATCTAATTTAACTAATGCATTTTATGCCAATGTATATGTCAAAGTGGCCGCATAAAGTTAGATTACTACACGACCGGATAACAGAAAATTAATCTTGAAAGTGGCAATTGTTGAATTCGCGTTTGCGTACAAAAATTGTCATATTTTAACGGGAATTGTAGGTATATTTAAACCGATAACTGCATTGACATTCTTTTGACCATATCCGCGTTTTATCCTTTTAGATAAAACGCGGATATGACTTAAAAAGGGCTGAAAACGTGTTTTATCCAAAAGGATAAAACGCGGATATGACTCAAAAAAGTCCGCCATCCATCCGTCCGTCCGTATCCGCGTTTTGACGCAAGAAAAAAAGTTAGACGCGAGAAAAAATTTCAGACGCAAGAAAAAATGTTAGACGCGAGAAAAAAAGTTAGACGCGAGAAAAAATTTCAGACGCGAGAAAAAATTTCAGACGCGAGAAAAAATTTCAGACGCGAGAAAAAATTTCGGACGCGAGTATAAATTTCAGACGCGAGAAAAAATGTTAGACGCGAGAAAAAATTTCACACGCGAGAAAAAAGTCGAGAAATATGAAATTCAAGCGCAATATTTCCATGGCACTAATACGGCTCCGTATGTATGCCATCACTCGATATATCGGTATCAATTACGAAAATAACAATAGTTTATTTTATAAATACGGCAACAGTAACTTCTAAAATTAGCACTAATTATTCTAATTCTTTACTCCTGTCAATCAAAAATTGAAAATCAACATTCTGACCAATCAGAATGCTCCGGCACCCAGCTGACGGGGAGAACTCAGAATGTGTAGTTTTTGGGCAGGTGGTATTTCAAGCTTCCCATTCTCTCGTGCCCGCGAATACCGCCTGCTACGCAGGCTACATAATTAACGGTTAAATTATATTCTCGTGACGTCCGTGTTGTCAAAAACGTTGCTTGCTTCAGCTCTTTAATAGAGAGTTTAGATGACTATACGAGATTCGTTTATATGGATGCGCGATCATGCGCCATATTCGTACGCCATCTTCTTACCCCATAATGTATTGACGGCCTTCAAATCTTGTAACCGTCGCCAAAGTAATTGATTTTTGATAAGTTTCGTAGTAAAAAACATCGAATAGGAGATTATGGCGTAAGTACGGAGCGACGTAAGATGATGGCGATTATTTGCAAACAACGAATCTCGTGTCGTACTCGTAGTTAAATCTAAAGCTCCCTAATGTCGCTTTCAAGAAGGGAAACATGTGTTAAAGTTTTTATTTGACGGCCGATGGGAGCGCTAGTTTTAACAGAGAAATCAAGAAACAAATCGCGTTAGTCATTTGATCACATCGACAAAAGTTCTCCCAGTCTCTGACCGCGCGTCCGATTTCCCGACCGTTCAGTCCGCCTTTGGCGAACAATGACAGTCAATGTTAAAATATTTGGTTCAACTGTTTATTTTTCAAAATTTTTTTGAGTAAAATCTGAAGATTATCCAAATTGCATGAGACAGTATAAAGCATTATTTTAAAATTGTTGGATCGCGTTGGGCCAACGTTGTTACATTGTTGCGTAAAAACAAGTTCCCACAATCACCCTCAACCAATACTTGCCTTTCAAGCTGGTTGACCCGGGTTCAATCCTTTGTCGGGCCTCTAATCAAGGTCTTAAAATAACTGAGGAAAAAGTGCTACCTTCAGGGACGTCGCTATAGGGGAGGGGTGTAACACACCCCCAATAATTCAAACGTTGGTCAAAGTTGGTCAAAATGGAACTGATATTTGCCCACAGTTGGTCAAATGGAACAGAAATTTGCTTAATTAAAATTGAAGGTAAAACTCGGAAAAATTTGGTCAAAGTTTGGGATAAAAGATGGTCGAAGTTGCTCAAAGTTATGAAATGGTTCGCAATTTTAACAATTTTAAAGCTTTTGTTATGTTTGCGGTGAAAAAATTGGAAGCCTTGTTTATCTTGGTCCAAAAATTTTTAATATGCTTATGTTAGGCCGGAAAAATGTTTTCGACTGTGCTTATTTTAGTCCGGAAAATTTTTTTGACTCCCCCACCCCCCCGTCGACAACATTTTCAGGAGAAATTCGTACGGCTTGGTCAAAATCCTAGGAAATGTTGGTCAAAAAATGACGACGACACCCCCCAATGTTGATGCTTCGCGACGTCCCTGCATGGCTACCTTTATAAACATTGACATAAGTAAATGGTTAGACTTTCGCGTCAACTCGGATAACCAATGGGTGAGAAACTCAATAAAACTCAATTTCATCTTCTCGTTATCTAATTAGTTTCAAGGACTATCAGCAATTCAAAGTGATGAATGCACGAAATTGGGCTCCGTTCAAGATTGGCAATGATCAATATTTTGTGGTCGCGAACTACATTGGGGAAACCTGTCCAATATTCCGTTATGACAGGAACGAGGATAAATTCAAGAACCAGTCGATGGGTGTAGAATGCAAAGAAACAGTTGATCTAAAACCCTTCAAGCTTAATGGCGTGCAGCACATCGTCGTTGCGAATCATGAAGATGGCCAGCCTGTCGTTGTATGGATGTGGAATGGAAAGAGATTCACCAAAAGGCAAGAGATTAACATCACAGCTACATACGTCGAGGTGTTTGATGTCAATGGGAATACATTTCTGGCTATTTCAGGTTAGTCTTTTGTTCATTTCCTGCTTCGAGTATTTGTTCTATTATAATACTTTTTGTTTGTGAAAACACCATGTAAATTTATTGCTACAAAGCTTTCGATCCGTAAGCCCGGATCTTCATTAGTGCTAATAATGTGTATTAATATTGTTTTGTTTTTTTTCTGTTTAATTAGTTGAAGCATTTACTTACTACCTTAATATATTTTCATTTTAATGACATCAATGGATTCAATGAATACAAAATAATGAATGTAGGAAATAGGGATTAAATTAGGAACATCACCATGGAAAATTCACATCATTTCGCATGTGAATTTATGGAGAATTGGAACATCACACGTGTGAGTTTCAAATGTGAAATTTTTATTTCGTATATGGAATTGGAACACTTTTGAATCACATGTTAAAAGGGATTTTCCATATGAGAAATTGAAGCGTGCAATTTTTAATTAATACTCCAACCGTATAATTTCTTAAACATTTCAAACAAAATCATGCATTCCGCCATCTTGGATATGCATATCTTGTCGGATACGCGTGATGTCACAACCGTGGTAAAATTATTTGTATCTTGAGCAATTCTCGGATCATTTCAATAATTTTGAGATCAGTGAGGGTGTAAATAGCCGTGCGGATTTAGTACCCTGGCTATCGCATAATCGCACGGAACGCTAATGCGCGTTGGCTCGTAGATAATAACGGTTTGAAATAATCTCAACACTCTTTCAAGTTAGGCAAACATTATTGTCATAACTGCCTAACATATTGCCATTTCATTTGATTTTTAGGTTCCAATCAAGGTCCCTATGTTTTTCTTCACAAGTGGAATGGGAAGAAGTTCTCACTTTCCCAACGATTGTTCACGGGAGTACGCCCATACGAGATTGCTGCATTAGACGCAGGTCAAGACGAATTCTTTTGTATTGCGACTATGGGGACAGTACAGGGAGTCAGGACCAGTATATTACTCTTGATGAAATGGAATGGAAACGAGTTTGTATCTTTCCAGAATATCACGTCATATGGGGTACGTAACAGACTCACTAAACTCGAATTTAAATTTTATCCATCCCTTGTATCTGCTCAATCATTTTCCTTGTAAACTTGTGCAAGTATAAATCCTCAACCATTGATCTAAACGGCCCAAAAATGTAAAAAATTGTGCTTCTGTTGCATAAATGTGAAATTTTTTTAAAAACGGCACTGGCACACTACCCTGTGGTTCCGGTTTTTAAAGACTAACATGACATGTAAATATTCACCAGGCAAGACGTATCACGGCTATATCGAGTCTGATGGGCAAACAGACAGCATATCTGGCTGTCATCAACTACTTCAAGAAACCAGAAATTTATTACTGGGTTGGTGGAAGCAGTTCACAGTTTGAGAAACTCCAGGAAATTGACGCAAAATCTGCACGCGACGTGTGCTTCTTTGAAATGGGTCAAAATGTGTACATGTTGATGGCTTCGCGTAAACATATTGAAATCTTCAGAGGCGAAAAGGTTTGAACAGGCTCATTGCAGTTATTTTACGTGTCGTAAATAAAACGAATAGACAGCGTTGAATTATATGAAGATATAGTCTCCTACGAACCACGGGACACATACACACAACGCTGTAATTGTAATATAACATTTATTTGGGACAGTCTAAAGTTAACTTATAGTTATATAGAGTATGATATGCGCCGTTACTTTGAATAAATACCATAGAGATTAAACGGCAAGGTGGTTTGAGACGAGTACGGCGTTTCTGTAGTGTAAAGTTAATTTTGTTATTTAGAGAAGATGATGAACGGTTGCTTTTAGTTTAAAAATATTTTATAAATACGTAACATTCAATGAGTGTGAAGAAAAGTGTAATTAAAAACGTGGTAAATGTTTAACTCGTTATCTTTTTGTGATATTCCTAAATCCTACATCAGGGGCGTAACTCCTGGGGGGGGGGTGAATGCGACACCGCTCCCCAATGTTGTAATATTTGTGTTTTGGGAAAATAAATATTCATTAGCGACAGAAATTTTATTCGGGCACGACTTTCGCCACGCCCTTTTGGTCGGGAAAAACAAGCTCACCCCCTCCCCCAGTCGTAATACCCAAGTTACAGCCCTGCCTACAGTGCCACACCCACTGATCACAAAGTGTTTTTAATTTTAAATTGGTCATGCCATCAAGCGATATCTACTTTTACGTAACTTGGAACATATAGCATCCAGTATCTCTTCTAACAGGTTTTAGATCTTTTGTACACTCCCATAACTAGAAGGATCGCTACGCAATGTCTCGCTTTATAAGTTTCTGATAAACACTATCCGCTTGAATTCTGCCTTCGAGTTTGAGCTCAGTATAATCAGAATTTTGTGGAGGCATTTTGGGTTTTTCATTGGTTCCTTTTTGACATGGTATTTCATATTGTGGTTCCTCTGGAGCTGGTATCTCGTATCTGTCATTCTCCTTTAAAAGTGGTTCATAATTACCATTTTCTGTCTTCCCCAATTTCGAGATATCGAGTTCAGTATACCCAGAAGCCTTGTGTGCATTATTTGATGCTATATCAACTTCTTCGTAAAGTGATGTCGTGGCTTTAAAAAACAAAAGAGATTTTAAAGAGGATGAGAGTTAATGAGAAATGGCATGTGAGAGTTTGCATTAAATTTTCGTCAATTCTCATGCCCAGACATAGACTTGCTCCAAGTCTCTCTTTCATTGTCATTTAGTATCGATCCACTATAGTGCACATTACACGACGTAGCACGGAGAGGCGGAGCGAGAAAGCAGTGCTCTCACTTTTAAGGAATTATCCTTAAAAATAGGAATTTTGAAGAGTTCTAAGGATTTTTTTAAGGAATTTAGGTTTTTGAGGATTTTTCTAAGGAATTTCCGAAACATTTTATCCTGGACTAAAAACGTTGGACGGAGGATAACCACGCCACGCAAAATGAGATTTAAACTTGAAAGTAGCAACATTATACGCACATAATTACATTTAGTATAATTACATAGGTGATTATTGAAAATTCTCCACGCTGATTGGTTGCCGTTGCCGGCGATTATTACGCGATAATCACCTAAGCGATTTTCAAAATGGCGGCCGAAGCCTTTTTGTCAATTAAATGACAAAGAAATGTGTATTTTCTTATTTTTTTCCAAATTATACTAAAACAATTATTCACCTCAGGCTCGGTGATTATCGTGAATAAAAACCTCGACTTCGTCTCGGTTTTTATTCACCGATAATCACCTCGCCTTCGGCGAATAATTGTTAAATATTCATATGTTCTGTATGTCATAAATGTTCTTATGTTCCAGTACCAATTTGGTTCAAGTACCAAATAACACAAATCACTCTCATATAACGTAATTGTCATCATAATATAATAGTATATGTTTCTGTACATGGCTTGGCATGTGATTTATAACAAAACTTAAAACAGTGTTTTGAAACCCTAGTTTTTTGCAAAATGTGTTCTCAGAATGCTGCAAATGCCATTTCCGGGATTCAAATTTAAAAATTTTTCCGTGCCTTCTGCACGAGTCCCCCCCCCCCAACATTTCGTAAAGTGTCCGCCACTGGTCTTTTCATTAAAATTCTCAAAAGTTAAATGTCAGTATATGCTGTTTCTTCTGAAATCTACAGATTTTTTAAGCTCTTCATGCAGCAACGATAAAAAATACATCATGTTGAATGTTTTCTTTATGGCATTACGCTAACAATCAAATGTTTTCAATTTTTAGTGCTTAGAAACAAGGTTATAAAAACTGAAAAACAGAAAAAAGGAGGAAAAAAACACTTTTTGCAACTGTGTGATCAGGCCTTCTGGTAATTTTACCAATTTAAGGAATTTTAAGGAAATCTGAGGAATTTTCGAGCTTTTTCTAAGGAATTCGAAAATTTGATTGTGAGAGCACTGCGAGAAAGAGAGACTTGTCAACTTCGGAAAATCTCGGTTCAAAACTGAACCGAAAATGCAAGACTTGCTTTAATTGTTTTCTGTCAGTGTTTATATGTATTGATCTAGCACAGTGTAAATAACATGAGTTCCATTATAGTAAATAATACAGAAAGAAATGGAAGGAAAACAATTAAAGCAAGTCTTGAATTTTCGGTTCAGTTTTGAACCGAGATTTTCCGAAGTTGACAAGTCTCTCTTTCTCGCTCCGCCCCTCCTTACTACGTCATGTAATGTACACTATAGTGGATCGAAAGAGAGACTTGGAGCAAGTCTAGCCCAGACAAGAAACAAGAAATCAAACAAGAAATAGACTGCGAGCGGTCCCTCCTTTCCGCGGATTTAGATTTCCGGGCACGACATTTCCGGGCACGAGAAAGGAAAGTAGGGACTGCAGACAACACATTAAGAAATGAAATCCGCGTTGCCCACACAACGCAGAATTCCCATTGGTCGAAATCGATACGCCTGTCAATCAAATCTGATATGTAGTAATTATGCTATAAATAATTTCCAGAGTGAATGTTGATTTTATACAAGGTGTGTCAAAATAAAAGTAAAATAAAAATAGGGCCTTCGCTCGAAACGTCGAGTTTCTGCTTAATTTTTAAGGTAGTAATATATAAACCACTCAGCACAGCATTTTCACATTGGTACTACCAACACTGGTACAGACAGTTTTAGTATATATGTCTGAATTACTGCGTATGAACGAGATTTTTTCATCTTCGGAAAGATCAGGCTTTTAGCTGTTGAATGATATGTTCTTCGTGCCAAATGGATAAAAAATAAGCAAGTACGAGTCTGATAAAAAATGCTAGTCAGATCGCATATTTTCACCGTTGTAATATGCGATTCTGACTAACATTTTTTATCGGACTCGTACTTGCTTATTTTTTCTCCATTTAGCATGAAAACATGTCATTCAACAGCTAAAAGCCTCATCTTTTCGAATATGAAAAAAAAATGTTCATACGCCGAGTAATTCAGGTACAATAGCGCGCTGAAGTTCGATTACCTTTTTTTATACACCCTGTAAATAAACATGACATTAACGGTTTCCTATTGGATGGATAGATTTAATTGCAAATAATAATGTATATGCAAAGGCGGAACCAATTTGACAAGAGCGAAAAGTGGGCGTATTTCGTTTCTTGCTGTGTTGTCTGCGGTCCCTCATTTCTTCGAGGGACCACTCGCGGTCTAAACAAGAAAATAATGGCATGAGAATTGATAAAAGTTGATGAAATAGTCCAGCAAAAATCTCATGAACTCAAAATTTTGAACCAGGTCAACGTTGCTGAGAGTTGATGAGATTTGACTACGTATTATTTCGCTTTCTTGGTAATTGGCTGTATGGCGAAGCCTAGAGTTTCCCATGGCATTTACTTCTGTAAATACATTCGTACAGCTCAGTATCTATATAATAAATTATATTTCTTCCTAGCAGTGACCGAATGTTACACAGACAAAGTTGATGGATTGTTAAACCTATTACCGACCTTCAGACTCTTTTGCATTCGTGTTGGCGTCTTCGTAAAAGCTTTGTTGATCAACTTGCGCGACAGTTTCGTAACGTATCTCCTGTTTTCATGATAATGATAATATTAATGATCTAATTAATGTTGATTATACACAATACAAGAAATTGCAAAGAAAAATGACCACACTCAGCGGAGACTTCATTACTTGGCATCGTGGGCTCAGTAAAAAAATTGATCTGCTTGCAACAAAATAAGGTTTAAAGTGCATGTCCTTCATTATTACTTTGTCATCTTATATTATATTTGGGTCTTTGGCCTTTTCCTATAACCTGGAAATTCTATCAATAAATCAAAACCTATATCAAATCAACTATATCTTGAAATAATTGAGTAGTTCTCGTTAATGTTCAGCATACGTCAGCGTGTACAATCTACGCATGCTCTGCTAATACGAGCAAACTAATCTTAGCTATCAATTTGTGGCCGCAATTTCTGACCGTGTGCATGCATGGTACTGTTGCCCAAACACCCGAGGCTCTTGATAACGTAACTTGCTTGACAACTAATTTCTTAGAGCTATTAGTTTTAATTTTGGTGTGCTAGTAAACCTGAGTTGGAGTAAAAAACTAAAGTAATTTTACTTATACGTCCAGCAATGGCAAACTCATATATTCGTCTGGCTACAGAAGGAAACCTAGTAAAGTAAACTAACTCAATTCATACTGGATAGCTCTACTATTTCTAAACTGTTCTTTTTAGAGGTACAGTAATATACCATCTTTATTCGTCCAGTGTTGCTACAGGACTAAACCTAAACTAAACTAACTTTAATTATCTGGATTGTCCTATCAGTTCCAAACTGGTTCCCCTTTTGAGAGGCCTAGTAACACCATCAATTATTTGTCCATTGTTGCTACAGAAGGAAATCTATATACTACTTTCATTAAATTAATTACACTGGGATAGCTCCGTCAGTTCTACCGGTAGGAGTAGTAAGAACACCATCTCTTATTCGTCCAGTGTTACTACATGTACAACTTTATTTATACTGGATAGCTCTATCAGATCAAAACTATTCTTCATAGAAGTTCATATTATGTAATAACCATTGACTGTTACCAACACCATGACCATAAGTAGTTTACCTGATTAACTGGAATAGCTGGCAGTGGTTCTTGTAAATTTTTGTTTATCTCCTGCAGTGGAATATTGACAGAAGTGGATAATTCTGGAGCCCGCTTCCGTCGCTTGTATTTTATCAATAAGGCAATAAGCACGATGATAAGAAACACGCCTGCACCCGTTGCTGTTGCTATGATAATGATTCTTGATCTTCTTGAATTCTTCGTTTCTCCCTTCAGTCTCTTGACTAATTAAAAATAAGATTTTATGGAGTGATTATTTATTTTAATCAACCATCTGAAAATGTTACACCCTAAAAACATCGTGGTT